TTTCATATTTATTTTCCTTGCCAACCTCATGTTTTTTCGTGCGAAAACTTTCACTTTTTGAAAATCGACCAAAAAAAGGCCACTCTACTGTACATCTGTACTAGAGTGATTCAGAAATTTTTATTTTTGTTTTTTTCCGCGGAACCATGCTCAAATGTTTCGCTTAGACGCCAAAATAAGTCTCAGTAAATATAAGCCATTAATATAATTATTAAGAATGTCCGCATCGCACTTTTCGATTTCCCATAAGAATAACACAGGAAAAAAAAGCTTTTTTGTACTTCTTCTTTTATATTTAACTAACGAAACGTTGTATTGTAAAGGTCAGAGAATTGAATGCTCTACAAAAAAGATTTGTAGTAATTTTTCGATAAGTCAACTCGGTAAAAAGTTATTCGAGGTCAAAGTCGAATTCACCACTCTTTCCTCTTTGTAGCGCCTTCAGTTCTCTACAAAAATACTCTAAGGCCTTTACAGTACTTTTGAGCATGGTTCCGAGCAAAAAAATACATTTCTTTTCTCAAAACGTCATTGAGCTAAAAAAACGTCAAAAGGATGACGAAATCGTCAATTCGGCAACGCTGTATCTGACTTCAAGTGTTAAGATTTTGAGACTTATCCAATAAATGGTTAAAGAGAAATGGCCCACCACGTTGGTATGCCCCGTTTTCATAAATTGGTCCATTTTGTGCACTCCCGTCTAAAGCTATTGATTTCGCAGTTGAATTACACCAATTCACTGATCCTAGCACCTAGCACGTGTTGAAAAGAAACAGGAATCAATTACAAAATGGAATGCAAAAATTAGAGCCAATGTCGTATTCACAATTGTCTAAGTCATGATATTACACAAAATCAACACACATCCACATTGTAAAATGTGGTAGATTTTAAGCTTACGGTGGTAGATATACCACAAAAGTGGTATAGTCAGCACACTGTATATACCACAAGAAAATTTATATTTATCGTCTACCTGGTACGATGATCAAGAAAGAACGACTGAATAATAAATTAATAAATTAAAATTCGTTATTCGGAATTACTTGAATTAAAATAAGTTTTCATTTGAAACTACTCGAATGATGAATAAAAATTTATTCTTTATTAGAAATCTGTTGTTGATGATTAAAGGTTTATTCGTCATTCGAACTTACTTAAATGAAGAATAAAAATTTGTTCTTCATCCGAAATTATTGGAATGATGAATAAAAATTTATTCCATAGGACTTACCGTTGATTTTTTGCAATTTTTTTTTTTGTTGAAGATTTCGTTAATTTTTTCTTCATATAAACAAGTCGCCAAACACTCTTAGTACCAGGGTTGTTGCGAATATCCGTATCCGCGTTCGTAACCGCGGAGCTTCCGCAATAATGTTAATTCGCTTTCGCATTCGCAATAATCAATGCGGAACTTTTGCGAATGCGAATGTATATCTGACAAACAAAATGACAAATTTAAGCCAATATTTTTTGCCGCTCTTAAGCGTATTTGTGTATAAAAACTGGTCAAAAGTCAGATTTATCAACTTTGATAAAAGTGTCTTTAAACCTATACAAGTTCCCAGTTCTACTTGATCATTTCTTTCTTTCTGTATTATGATTTTGTGGACCAATCTTAAAAAAAAACTACTGGACATGAAAGAAGAGAGTGTGTGTGATTTGCTTTTGATGTTATTCGTTGCCATCATTTCAAATGAAGCTCATTGGGAAATTTATTTTTAGCAAAAATTTCAAAAATACAGTAATTTTGTTTACTTGCCGGGCCTTGTCGGGCAATATTTTTTTCATAGGGGTATATATTGGATCCTTGGCTAACCTTTGTGTTAAAACTGTCCCCTACGTCCCCCTTCTTTTGCTATTTAAAGTCATAGAGTAGGCTCCTTCAATAGAGCTTTCCAACAGAAATGTTCAACGTCTAGCTATAAGGCGGAATAAAGATAAAATGGAATGTGAAAAAGTTGACTACGAACTTCACAAATCAAATAAGAATCAATTCGAGGCGAAGTTTATATCTATTGAGGAGTGGGAATTGGCATGCAATATATGTATTAGGGTGCCCATCGAAAATGCTTTTTTTTTGGAAATTTCAAGACCCTAGCCCCTAATTTTATTCGTTTTTATGAGAATTATTATTGCCTATTTTTATAGATTTTTTAAAGGTCATTTAGAGGACGCGACCTGTCGATTTAGGTCAGAAAATAAGATTTTGTAGATTTATGAGTTTTTGAATGACTATTTTTGCCTTGATTTCAAAGAGCGAATATGAACTGATAAGAGGATATATAGGCCTTTACAATGGTAGATAATAATCTTTAGTGGACTTGGCTTGTTGGGATTTTTTATCGGCTACAATAAAAAACATATTTCGCTTAATTTTTGAAATTTTGACCATCGATAATTTCCACAATTTCAAAATATGTAATACTATCTAAAATTAAATTTATTTTTACATAAACTAATAGCACATTTATTTCAATCGCATAAAAATTGTACCAAAATTGTAAAAAATGTGTATACCAAATTTGGTCGAGGTCGATGAAGCAGTTTTCGAGATACACATATATGATGTAAGTGGGCAGAAAACCCAATTTTTTGCTAAAAAGCGATTATATATATCAATTTTGAATAAATATTGATATATTCCTTAGCCACACTGCTCAAAAAATCTGAAAGCTAGGTAGACACATAATATAAATTCAAGGCAGTATTTAAGAAAAGTGGCCCAACTTCGACAATTTTTATGCGATTGCATTAAATGAACTATCAGTTCATTTAAAAACTAGCAGACCCGGCGAAATTCGTCCCGCCCAAAATAAATTTTTTGTATTGAAACATTTTGGTCCAACAACATTTTCACCAACAGTTCACCTTCTACTATTACGGGCTGGTGTTGTCAAAAGGCATATGTATTTCCATTGCCATCTTATATAGCCTAGCATAAGTGTATATGCATACAAAGATACGTAATAGCTTCAGTGCGGTTGAAAGACGCCACGCCCCCTTTTTAAATAGCCCCAATTTTCTCTAAGAGTATGGTATTGATTTCATATATCTCCATACCATGATCGAGTACTCTACCATGAACACTTCCGGAGATATGCAGTGTGAAAAATTCGGTTTGTATGGGAGGTGCCACGCTGAAAATTTGCGTTCATCTGTCACAAAATATGAAAACGCATTGAGCGCATGGAATCGAACAAAAAAAATGGATTTGATAGCTTATGGCGCCGACAGCGGCTAATGAGTAATTGTGACTGCCTGCTAGTTGCAAAAGTTGGAAAAGTCGAGCTCAGCAAATAAGAAAACTAATTAAAAGTTATTCTTTAAAGGTGAACCTTTTGAAGAAGCCACCCGAGAACTAAGCAGCACTGAGACCCTCATCATCCGCGATTCCAATAATTAAATTGCTTATAAAAAACCACTTTGAAAACAGAGTTTCGTTCGAAGTTTTCATTCCTTGAAAATAACAATTTATTTGCCATATTCAGAAGAAAGGATTAAAAATGAATTAAAAAAGCTAAAATCGAAAAAACTCTGATGACGTTGCAGTTTCTTTAATTTTTGAAGCAGCCAAAGAAATGAGAATGAATAATTATTTCGAAAAAGCTTTAGAAATTCCTGACACATCTGGTTTCGCTTGTAAGCGGTGTTTAAACAACGGCCATGATGCTAGATTTGTGAAGTGAAGATGAAAGTCAGGAAGATACATCCGACATTTTCAAGTTTCAAACGCAGATATGAATTTGTCGCCCCGAGCGAGCAGTTATTTAGTGGCGTAGGTTGGATTCTCGACCCTTTAAAAAACAGGCTGCAACCTGAAAAGGCAGCAGCATTACTTTTACTAAATATTTCCAATTATTTAATTCAAATACTCAATAAAATGAACTTTTTAAAATCATTAACTTTTGCATTTTTTTATTTAATAATAATAATAGATTGGCGCGTACACATATGTTAGTGTTTGGCCGAGCTTCTCCTCCGATTTGTGGCGTGCGCCTTGATGTTGCCACACAAAGCGGAGGGACCTACAGTTTTACGCCGACTCCGAACGGCGATTGTATTTTTATGAGAAGCTGTTTTTCATGGCAGAAATACACTCGGAGGTTTGCCATTGCCTGCCGAGGGACGACCGCTGTTAAGAAAAAACCTTTTTTCTATATTTTTGCGATGTTGCTTTGACCAGGGTTTGAACCCAGGCGCTTAGGGATTATATCCCTTACTAAGTAGAATTCTCATTTCTGTTTTGCCGGAAAAGGGGGCCGGAAGTGTTTTTGCGTAGAACTACTTTCTGCATAGGCGGCCTTCGGCCGCGCTTACAGATTCTAACCCTTACTAAGTAGAATTTTCCTTTCTGTGTTACCGGAAAAGGGGGGGCGGTAGTATTTTTCCGCAGAACTTCTCTCTGCGTAGTCGTGCGTTTTTTTATTTACCTATGTACAAAAATCACCTAATTTACTCACCTAAATTATTTCGTAAAAATTACTTGACATTCGCATTCGCATCCCCATCCGCGGATGTTAGGTCTAAAATTCCACATTCGCAACATCCCTACTTTGTACCAATGGAAAAGAATTACTGACACCGTAAAAAAAATTGCCAAAAATCAACGGTAAAGCTACTTCAAGCTTGCAGTTATTATACTAAAATTTATTGGCTATAAGGTTGTTATATGTAGTTAATTGTTTATTAAAAAAGTAGTAACATCACTAACTGAAACATGAAGATAGAGGGCTGAACCGACAAAGAAATTTTCGTATGGGACCGAAAGAAAATAAGTATTTTTTTCTCGCAGTACAAACATAATATTTTTTTGGCTTCTCATCATTCCGGTCGTCTCCGCATTGGTATACGTATTTAATTTAAAAAACCTATAAAAAGTCATATGCCTAAAGTGCATACATATACTAGGCATACATATTTATGTACTATATGTATATGCTATGATAGACAAGTATTTATTTATTTAATGTAAAGAAATTTAAGTATTTTTGCACTACTTCACTTCACTTCCGACGTCCGAGTAACAACTATAAGAACGTAATGCCTATCCGCTGCCAATGCCAGAGTTTGATAAACTGTGGCCAAAAATGGTATGAAATAGTTTGAATTTTCCCCGGAAGGTTAAGTCAGCCCTATTATCAATTGTTATATTGATTCGATTGTTATCAGTCAGAACCGTTGTACATATACATAAAACATGAACGAACGAATAAAGATCACCCAGCACGGCGTGCGAGAAAAAAGTTATTTTTTTGCAGTGACGTCATTTTTTTCGCGCCATGTGAATGAAACGGAATTAAGCCTGTGTGTGAATGAAAGATCCGATTAAAAAATGACGTCATCAACTATTATTATTTTTTCTCAAATGCAATTACAAATACACGGCTGCCGTGCTGGGTGATCTTATTATTTGGTTCATGCATATAAAATGTCACCAATCACTCCATCGTCGAAGTTAAATCGTTCTTGCCAAAGCGTATTAAATAAGGTGGTATCGGTACGACAATAACAAAATGTACATGTATTTTGTTTTTGCTTTTGCGGCGAGGACTGTCAAAAATTTCATACGAACGATGTGAAAGAGAACAGAAAACAATAATGAATCAACTGCTCCAACCAATCAACAGCAGCTATTTGACATATGAAGCCGTGAGGCGAAGAAAAATAAAAGGGTGCTGCTATCACCTGTTAAATACGCCTTGGTTCTTGCTGTTAGTTCACATGCTTACCGTTGGGAGTACTTCCACTCATTATAGTTATACGCGCGCACCTATAAGTATGTATGTATCGCTTTTAGTGGTAACGTGTTCTAGAAGGCATAGCGTTATAATACCTTCGAATTTTTTCGCTTCTTTTAGGCATTGTCGGTAATGCAAAGTACAATGTCCTAAAATATTTTTTTTATTTCGCTTTTGGTTTCATTTCGGGGAATGCAAAGTAGAATGTCCTATATCTAATATTTATTTTTTAATTCGCTTCTTTGCTTCATTTCGGGGAATGAAAAGTAGAGCGTCCTACAATATTTTATTTGTTTCGCTTCTTTGCTTCATTTTAGGGAATGCACTATGGGAAATTTGACCCTATTTGGTGGCCAAAATTCTAAAAGTTGAGATATCAATTTAAAACTTGGTCCAGTAGTAGGACTAGAAATAGTGGCCTTGCCGCGCAAAAATTAACCCGTAATTGTCACACCTTCAAAAAATAGCGTAATGGTCACACGGGGTCCAGTGGACCCCAACCCAATAAACAGATGCCTCGTACGTTCTATTTTAAATATCGACTCGAATCCTCCACTGACCTCAAGTTTAAAACTTTCTCTTTGTTATCTGACAGGTCTTTTCCAACTTTTAAATTATAACACCATGAATTATTTCATAAAACTCATGATTTTGTGCCAAGTAGTTACCTAAGAAAAATTATAATTTCTTTAATATCGCACAAAATCGCAGTATAAGATTATGGGGAGATAAGAGACCAGGGACTATTCTACCGATTTATGATGAGTTTTTTTAAACGTTTTTAAACATTTTTTTAAAACACTAAATATACTGTTTTTTTTTTTAATTGTACAATTTCACTTTAAAGTCACTTAAATGCGGACGTGTCTTTGGCACAACCTTTAAACTGTAATACAAGTTTTAATTGGTAAATATTCTGCTAACCGTCACTCTTTCTTTCCACTTTTCACTTTTGAAAAGCAGGAAATAGATTACGAGATTAAGGGTGGGTAACTCTGTAAATTTTGGTGTGCTGACTCAGTAACTCCAACTCACTTTAATGAGTCAGCACAGTGAGCTGGCACAAGTGTGCTATCGCACAATTGGTATGTACATCGAAATTTTTGATGATGTAACCGAAATCGATTTAGAAAAGATTATCTTTAGCTTCTGTTCGTAGCTGGCCGGCAAAGTTTTAGAAAGCTGATTGCAACTGGTGAGTTCATTTGCAAAATAATTCCCCTTGGATGTATTAACTTCTAGCCCAGTTATGCATACTTAGCTTTGCTTGAGAGTTGTCATATAAGAATCTGATAAATGGGCTATGCATGTAAGCGGTTACCCAACGAATAGCACTTCACATGTAGAATTCTGTTTGGTTTTGATTTTTACGTAAAAATGGTATAACAGTGCAAGTATGCATAACTGGGCTATTCGCCTTGCTTCTTGTTAAATTTGGTAGTCGTATATTCAATTGATGGTTATGCAGCGTTTTTGCTGCATTTAAAATGCAACATTTAGCACTTTCGAACATATGTTTTCGAAGAGCGTTCATCCTATCGCATTTAGCAAATGTACATTTACGCGAGTTCGAAATCGTATGGTTTTGACAAACAGCCGTGTTCTACTCGCTTATTCAGATCCGTATCTATTACGATAAATCCTCACGCAGAAGATAATGTTCAAAAAACCCTACTGAAAAGGCAAATATAAATTTTAAACCAAAAATTCAATACAAAAACTTTAATTGTTTTAACCATAACCGAACAATTGTTTGTGTATATATGCATTTGTCGGTGCTGTCAATTAAAATTTCCTCACTTAATTAGGATTTTTCCAGCAGGGTTGAATTTGCGTAACTTTTCTTTATCCTAATGATGGAAAATAAAAAAATGAAATCTCGATCGGCGATCATTGAAACGCAGCTAGCCACTGTATACTCGAAAAAGCAATATTGGCACTTTTTCTCATTAAACCATGTTCGAATCGTGGGAATTTTGGAAGATCACAGGGTTGCTTTTAGCATTTAGATTCTTAATGCAAAGCTGGAGTTGCATTTAGATGACGAATTTTGTATGGATAAATGTACATTTAGGGTACAGTTAAATGCGCTAAATGTGCATTTACGCGTAAGCAAAAACAGCCCATTAGTCTATTGATGCCATCTATTATGGTACTTTTTGGAAGATCGTATTGTGTGAATGTGTCAGCTCATCAATTGAGTTACCACATCGACACAGTTCTAAACAATGCAAGCCGCACCGAGCTGTGCAAGTGTCAGCACATCAACTGAGTTACCATATCGACTCTGTAGCACACTGAGCTATACATTGTCAGCACATAAACTGAGTTACTGAGTTAAAAATTTTTTCAGAGGTGAGTCTGAGCGTGCGGCACAGTTCTAAGAGTCAGCACAGTAACTCAGCACAGTGCTGAGTTACCCACCTCTATACGAGATACACCCATTTGAAAGTGGCACAAAATCAAGCTACACATTTTTCGTTTACATAAAATTTCGAAACTATCTGTTTGAGGGTTACCAAATCAACGGTAAGTCAATTTATCGAAAAACAGAGTATACAGTTTTTTTACTCTAAAGTATTCTCTGTAAGATAAGACAAACAAAAATTAATTTCAAGCCAAGAAATTTACTTCTGGTCACAAAATAGGCTCAAATTTCCCATAGTGGAATGCAAAGTAGAATGTCCTACAATACATTTTTTTTTCGCTTCTTTGCTATATTTCGGGGAATGCAAAGTAGAATGCTGCATCGTAGTCATCCAAAAATTCTTTTTCTACCGTTACTTTCTGTGGAAATTTGTCTCGTATAAAAATTATGCTTTGCTTTGTTCAATTTGCAGCGAAGTTGAAGTCAATCAATGAAGTGAAGTACAAGAGTGACGGAGTACAATTTTAAGCTTAATTAAATATGCATGTATGTACATACCGATTTTTAAGTAAAATCTAAATACCTAAATACATACATATGTACGTATAAAAACTGATTTATACAAATTTTAATTAATTTTAATCTTTTAAGACATTTTCGGATTTCAATTTAATATAAATAAGTATGTATCTAGGCATTCTACATTAGTTTCTCTGTAAGGCATTCTTTGTTCGCTTCTCTGGATTCTGTTTATCCATGCGTTCTCCCTTCGTTTGAAGCTAATGCTGTGGGTAAGGGCTCTCCGCCCATGTTAAAATAAGGCCTTCTTGAAGCGAAAGGGTAAGCGATTCCCATCGCCTAGCTCGTTTCCCCTTTCGTTTCTGCGGTAATCGTGTTTTTCGCTGGGTACACAACTTTTTTACTTCACAAGAGGCAATAAATTCAGTTGTGTGAAGTAGTGCGATTTCGTAGCAAAACTTGGCTAACTTTTTCTGTTTTCGTCAAAAGAAATAAATTGTTCCACCAGTTTCAACAGTTTTTTGAAAAATAACTTAAATCTCCAAAGTAGCGTCCGTACTTTGTCTGATCGGAGTAGATTTACTCCGATTTCTTTTTTAAATTTAAAATCTACTCCCCACTCCGCTTGACCTCAAATATGCTACGATTTTTTGTTTACTTTTTTCCATTCACATTAAGAATATATTACAAAATAATATGGTAACTTCTTGAATTTTTGCTTAATAACTTCTGTGGCAACCACCAAGGGTTTGTATAGCAAGGTGTAACAGAAGTTGTCTATTTTACTCTTTTAAATTCCTTGCGGAATCTCTTCTTATTTCACAAAGCAGGGTCCAGAGAAATGTTTTGGAAAGATGTATGTTTAGCAATTTGGTAGAGTATGTGCTGACCAGAGAGCAGCTTTGAGTATGATCGAGCCTTTTTGATCACCCTCACTAAAAATCGAGCACAAGCGAACGCCACACTCGGCTACTATGTGTTCGATCGAGATGTACACCCGACAGCTGCTTTAAAAACGAACGATTCTGTTCGATACTTTTGGCATTCGATACCGATATTTTCTACTCGATAGTTTTAAAACGATATTTTTTGGAATCGAATGTAATAAACTCACTGTTCAATATTATTGCATAGTCTTTTACTTTTCTACTAACTTTTTGCAGCCCTGTAATGTTGTACTGAACATTGAATTGTTTTACCTTTTGCAACCCTGTAATGACAACTGAGAATTGTATTTTTTGTAAAAAACTCGATTGAATTCGGAATTTTTAAAGAAAAGACACGAGGTTTTTTCACTTAACCTTAATTTTATAACAAGGTTCGTATTACTATTAATGTCTTCGCAACACTCACATTACAAGGATAATGTTCTTAACAATTAATAATAAATTGGGCTTTAAGAGCAGAAATGTGTAATATAGTTAGGATTGCATGTTGTGGAATTTGAACCCGCGACTTCGGTGTTTTAAGACAACACCTCAATCTCTACGT